CTCCACTGTCAATGGAGGGAAGCAATCCCCTGTGATGATAAGTACTCTGTATTAAAATAAATATGCAAGACAGATGGGTGCTCTAAAAATGCCTGTCACTATATCTTGAATATAGAAGGAGCTAAAATAACTAGATTTGATTCAGTATTTTAGAATGGTAAAATTAAATGGGATGGCCCTACCCTGAGCACTATCACTGCTTTCTGGAATGACAGAGCGTGCTGCATTATAATCTGAATTTAATTAAATGGCACACCTCTTTAATGATGGCAGGATATTCTTGCCAGGGGGAAGAATGAAAAAAAAAAAAAAAAAAGAGGAATGTGTCAAAATGGTGGTTCCACAACATCTTACATAGATTTTATTGGTATTAATATTGTTGCTGTTTAACTGAAACCCTGAGCTTCTAAATTGCAAACGTTAAAGAAAAATAGTGTTCTCTAACAATCACTCCTTCAGTTGTGATACACATTGGGGTTTTGTCTGTGATATTATTTTGCAGCCTGCTGCTGCCCCACTTTTTGTGTATTTCTTGGCACTCCATTCCCTTCTTTTACAGTTTACCATTGTCAGCCTTTTGTAGCGTTTTTTATAACAACGTGCTCAAAGTATTGGCTTTGCTTCTCCAACATCTCTAGGTGATCCTAACTTTTCAGTGCAAAGATATTCTTTACAATAACATCTGTCCTTATCATAATAATTTTGGTAGTACTAATTTCATCTGTTTCATGTGCTGAAATTTGAGCTCTGTGATTTGCTCATTAGTGGTATCTGGAATTATTAAAAACCATCAACACAGTAACAGTCTGGAGCATCTTCTTCCAAGGTTGAGCATATCTCATCTAAAATGCACTGAGTCTCTGGGCTGATTGGCCTGACTGTCCTTGTCTTGGTTCTGTGATATTCTCTAGGGTTAGAAAAATGTCCTGTTAAGTACCTCATGCTGATCAAAAGAGTTCTGTAATGAGCACATTGTGGGATTTAAATGTCTCTAATAGCTGGGATACATATTTAGGGAGTTTAGTATTTTACTCTAACAGTTTAAAGTGTAAAAAGGAAAAATGGAAGGAGAGGATAAGGTCTTTGTAAAAAGAGAAAACCACTGCTGTACCTTAGCAGAGATCTTTCTAGCATTCAGCAGATACTGAAATTTCTCATCATCCTTAAGTGCATTTTGTTCTTATTTTATTTCATTTCCTAACCAAATGAAGTTGAAGTTCCCTGTATAAATAAATTCTGGCTTTAATATCATGCAGTTTTACCTGTAAGGCTTTTCAGACTTTGTTTGGTATAAATGACTGTGTTCTGTCTTTATTCAGGTAATGCTGTTGGCACTGGTGGAGACTGTAGGCATTTTCCAGAGTAATAGAACAGTCAGTACCTCGATTTCTTCCACTACTGGACATGGATGTTTTGAGAAACTACACAACTTCTCATGTCAGATGGCAAATCAGGCTTAAAACAACTTGAATATTATATTCAGGGAGCTGGATCTGACATTGAGTGACCTGGGAGGGAACTGCAACCTTGGGGTAGAAATGCAGTGGAAGATCCTCTCCTGACCTGGGGGAGTCTGCAGCAGCACAGCCCCTGTCAGAGCCTGTGGGAATTGGCTCATTCTGAGCTGAGAATAAATCAGATGGGCAGGGAAAAGCTCTAAGGAAATTAGAATGGAAGCAACTCAGACTGGGAAAATTGTTTGAAAATATCTCGAGTACAAGCAGAATGCAAATGCTGTTAATGGTCACAAGAAATCAGGGACTTGATTAATATATTCTCCTGTTGCAAAGTTCTCCTCATTACACCATGAATAGATGTAATTCTGTCCATAGGAACTTGAATACAGATATTTTGGCATTCAAGGAATTCTGTGCATTTCTCCTCCTTCTCCTTTTAACCCAATGCCAGCAGCAATTTTTACTTCCTTTTCATCCCAAAGTATCTTTCTTCCCTTTGCAGGGAAAGATTAACAGAGAAATGGCAAATGGCTCAATACCAAGCTTTTTCATTTTTTCAGGAAACCAATAAATTCCTTTCTATCCCTTCTAGGAATGAAGGCCAAAAATTTATCACAGAGCAACAATAAAATAAGAGTATTTAAGGACTTAAATAAATAAACTTTAATAAACTTATATTTTCAGCACAGAGCAGATGGTGTTTGACAGACCTGCCTGAAGCTATGTAGCATCACATGCCATGCTAGTTATTTTTCAAAAATGTGATTTACTAAACAAATTTCTTTGAAATCATATGCTGAAGAAGGGAGTTTGTATACAGATTAAAAGGTCATTTTATAAGTAACAGGTGAAGGTCAGTTAAAATTCCTGGATAAGTAAAAATGGTGCAGAATGGGAGACTTCAGCCACATTTGTGTGAGTTAATAAAATACTGCCATTGAGTGAGCTCAACTGGATCTCTTGTTTTGGTTTAGTTTTCCAGCACATCCCATTCAGCATCTCAGGCAGCACTGAGGCACAGTTTGGGCAATTGCACGCAGCAATGTGGAACAGGCTTTGCTCTGCTTTGGAGGGACAAGGGACTGGCCAGATGGATGTGGACAGTTTGTGTTGTGTGGCCTAAGGGTCACAGAAGGGTTCCCAGTTGTTTTGTGTTTTGCAGTAGGATGTACCTTAAGGGCCACTGTTTATATAAACACTGTTTATTTAAAACTGGAGTTGAAAAGTTACTGGATGGGTTTGAAGGGATTCTAGATAAAACTTGCTTGGATGCAGGCCAAGGATAAGATTTGCACACCTCAGGTACTGTTACTGTGTCCAGCTCATGGTTCATTTTTATTTTATTGACTTTATTTACTATCTGAGATTGCAAGGATGTGGCTTCCCCAGCTTTCTCCGTAGCTGTAATTATTCCTGCTACCCTGGAACCAGATAGACTCACTGGTCACAAGGTAATTAAACACTGCTGAGAGCAATTGTTTTATTTAAAGAGAACTCATAGTCTGTATCATACATTTATGAGCAGATTATTTAGTGAGTGGCATTCTAGAACTGAGCATTTCTGTGACAAGATGAGGCTGTAATTCAGTGACCAAAATTGGATTTCTCTGCATCCACAGCAGGGTGGGCAGCAGGAAAGGGGGGATTCTGCCCCTCTGCCCCCTCAGGAAAAAAAAAAAAAAAGTCTTAACATGTCTTCTGTGGTTATGGAGCTTTCTAATCCAGTCCGTTAAAGCTTAAACAATGAGAAGGAAGAGAAGAATTTAAAGAATATTAGATAAATTGAATTATTTGACTGGGAAAAGAAAGCATTCCAGAACACGAATGTCACCAAGGAAACTTGGTGTAGCAACTGCACAGCAAACAGCTGGAGAAATTTATTTTTTTCTAAGTTTTCTTAGACTGTAACTCTGTAGTGTAACAAACCAGAACTTGGCTGAGACTGGCTCATCTGGCAGTCCCTGCTGAACCATTCTGACAGTCAGGAGAGGCTTCCTGAACCAAGAGAGGCTTCCTGAACCAAACTTTTCTGCCTCAGCTTTATTGTGAAATTTCAGCTTGAAAAACAGGCTCGACTGTGTGCACACATGACACCTGCTGTCTTGAACAAAACACCAGGGACTGAATTTGGGACATCTAAAACCAAAAGCCTGTGCTGACATTGCTCAGGCTAAAGAGATGTGGTTCTTCAGCTGGGGACCAGAAGAACTCACTCAAAGGATGAACACAAGAAAAGTGAGATAAAAATATCAGCGGGTGACACAGATGCCTCCTCTTGTGTGATAGCAAATGCTTTCTCTCTCTGTTTTCTGGTGTCAATTTGTGTGATTAACTCCAGAATTTCTAATGGATCCTTTTTAGAAAGCTAAGAGGTAAATTTATGTTTTGTATTAAATTCTGGTGGCACTTGATATTGTTATGTTTGAATTTCTAAATTAAAAAAAGGGAATGGGTTTTACAGATTTTTAAATGATCATAAAAGCTTTGGCCTCGTGTCATAATTGGAATTACAGGCAGTAACAGAAAGCAGGCGTTCTCTGGAATGAATGCCTAAAGCAAAGGCTGGAACAGAGGCCTCTTGCCAGTGTAGGGCTGATAACTGTGGTGTACATATGAGAGGGTATCATTGAAAGAGTGTCTTTAATCCCCTTCCCACCCCAAAAGTGACTTCTCAATAGCAACCAGAAACATGTGCTATTAGGCTCAGCTGGAGAGAGAAAATCGCTCTTAATCATATGCAAGGAACAATTCTAAATAGAAGCATTTGAAAACAGCCTTGGGAAGGAAAGAGTACTGCCAGAAAGAATGGAAGATCATTCTGATTCTTGATGAAAAGCTTTCAAACAGAGTTCAATGTGCAAAAGATGTGACAAATCTTTAGAGAAGTACTTTTCTCTTAAGAGAAAGGTAATACAGCTAACAAAGTCACTTAATGCTTTTTGTGCCGTTGAACCTGAAAACCATATTTTCCCCCCATTGGTTATGAGACACAAAAGGCTTTTTCCCCCTTTTTAATCTTCGTGAGGAGTTTTGCTTTGAGACTTCCTGCAGGAAACTGTTTTAAGTGGAATTCTTCTTTATACTGAACCTAATGTCTGCCAATATGATTCCTGTTACAGGCGTAGGGACCATTTTCCTTCTGTCCTCAAGCTGTGTTGCTGCTTATTATCATGTTTAACATTCCCAGTGCTTGGCAGGATGGAGATTAGAAACTCTTAATATTCATTTTATAGTGAAAGGTCTTGCCAGATTTTTTTGAGTATTAGCTATAATATATGCACATAATTTATTGGTGGAAAAGTTCTGAACTCTTCGGTGAGTCACCTTAATCTTTGTTCTTATCATTTAGGATTGTTCTGAAATAATCTTCTGTGCCTCCTGCACGTAAACATGTTAAAAACATTACTTTGGAAATAACAACTTGATGGTAGCAAACAAAAAAGCTGCAATAATTTCCTTTGATGGATCCTTAATATTTTTTTTTTTAAGTTTATGTCACCTAGAGGATTTTTCTCTAACTCTAAAATTTTGTGTTTTTAACAGACTGGAAGGAAGGAGAAGGGAGACCCACTCAACATTGCCATTGACAAGATGACCAAGAAAACACGAGACCTTCGGAGACAGGTGAGCCCTGCTTTTCATAATGTTTCCTGATTTTCCAGGGAAATCATTGCTTTACAACTTCAGGCTGGTTTTGCCACATGAGGAGGTGTAAAGAATTGGTGTCCTCATTTAGATATGGCCCTACATTGCACATGACATTAAGCAAAGTAGCAGCATTTCCTGTGACAAAAAAAAAAAAAAAAGGGAGAAGGAAATTCATTCCAAGTGTAACTACCAATGGTCTTTCCATGTGGGAGGGGAGGCAGATTGTCCAGACCTTCCCTGCCTTGGCAGCTCAAAACCCCAGTCATAAAAACACTGGCATATGTGCTTATTTGTGTTTTATTTGAATACTCTCACTGGAGTAACAGGAAAGATGAGCAGAATATGAAAAAGAAAAATTGTAAGAGTAAAATATATTTAAAGAGAACTTCCGAGGTACTGTATTAAATAAAGATACTGTGAAGATACAGAAAGTCATAATAAATAACAATTTTGCCAGAGAGGTGGATGTCCCATCCCTGTAAACACTCAAGGCCAGATTGGATGGGTCTGAGCATCCTGATCTCCTTGAGCATGGCCCTGCCCATGGCACAGGGAAGTGAACCAAATGACCTTTAAATGCCCCTTCTAACCCAAGCTATCCTATGATTTTATTAATAACTGCAAAACCTAGTTTAAACCATGCATTTTGGCTTTCTTCTATTACATTTCTCATTGTGTTTTGTGATAAGAAAGAAAGAAAGGTTCATTAGAAATGCTTGAGATGGAAAAGAAGTAAAAGGAGATTTGCAACCAAGAGGGAGAGGTTTCTCTTGACACCTTCAAGTAAAGGCAGGACAGATTGCCTCTTTTTAGCTCCTTTTTCTCCCTTTAAGATGATTCCAGTTCTGCATTTTTTATACAAATATAATAATAATAGTAGTAGTAGTAGTAATAATAATAATAATAATAATAATAATAATAATGAAAATTCTACCTGACCTCTGTGAAAGTGATCCCACATCCAGAAAACTGCCAAACCAAGTAAAGATTTAAATGCATCTTCAAGTACCTATTTGCAGCACGATAATTTTGGAGAGAGTGGCCTCTGTAGGCATTTTGAAATCAGTGCTCTGCACTGCTAAAACTCAGCTCATTTCAGCTCTTCCTCCTTAACCTTTAGCAGACGTGTTTGGAGATCATCTTCTCCGAGCTTATTTTGCCAAATAACAAACCCATTGCAGTGGACCTACAGACAATATGAATCACTGAGTCTCCTATATAAAGCCTGCCATCACATCTGCTGCTCAGCTAATGACAGAAGAGAGATCTCTGCTGTTCTGACCTCCAAATTTGTGGGATCCTCGGCTCTGCAGTGGAGCTGGGACCATGTGTTGCCTCCCACCTCTGTTCTCACTGCTTCAAGGAAGTAGCAGACTAACACATGAGTGAGTTCTATGTGAGGCTCTCAGCAGTTGCCTGAATTACTCATCCCTAAAGCCAAATTTACTCTGAAACGTGATATAAAAATGGCACCTGTCTTAATAAGCTGTGTGCTTCTCATGTGTATTCACCCTCGTGGAATGTTCAGTCTCAGAGAGCTTGGAACTCTGGATGTGGGTAAAGTGAAGCACAGATATTGTATTTTCCTGCTTGGGGATGAAGCTTTTAGTACATTTCCTGATATTTATGGAAGTTAATCACGTAGGTATAATGTTTATTAAATTGTGGCAGTTGTAAACTGTAAACTAATCAAGATTAAATCATAATTGTGCTGGGTTTTGCACAAACATAGAGGAAGATGGAGTCTGCTTTCAACAATGTGCATTCTGACTGTAAATCATGATCCCTCAGAATCATGATCAATGTTCTGCTTCATCACATGAATATAATCAGCAGAGTACCTGTTTATGTGTGGCTGCCCAGACCTGCCTGTGCACTCTCTGCTAAATTCCAGAATGTGAGGGTGTCACTGAGGGCTTGGTTGGATGGCTGGGGAGAGAGGCCTGAAGGTCCAGAGGAATGAACTGTGGTGGAGGTTACAGTGTCCCACTATTTCAGTTTTTCTATTCTGGGCAAAATCATTGGAGAGACAACCAGCTTTGAATATCATCATGCCTTTTGTCTAAATGAATCCCTTTTAAAGCTTGCTTTTCAGATTTTGGATGTTTAATGTTAACACCATTAAAACTAGATAACCTACAACAGTTAGGTGATGAAAAATACAAATACAGATAAATAGATTTATTTTTTTTCCTCTTTTGATAGTCAGGCTCCCTTGCAAGACTTCAGTATTCACCCATCTAAGACTGATTTTTCATTTTCTCCCAGGTCACTTAGCTCATTATTTGGGAGATTTGATTTCATTATCTGCATAAAATGCAGACATGGGAAATGATTGTGGATGGAACACACAGTGCTAAAATTCTGCCTCACAATTCACAGTCACTTCAATATTTCTTATTCTGATGGAATTACATCTTTTAAACTTGCATCATTTAAACTCTCCTGGGAATTGGGAAATTATTATGGGGAGCTAATTATATGTCTTACTATAAACTGCCAGTAAGCACATCAAGCTAAGTCAGACTGAGCAGGTTCTTGGAAGCAGACACACCTCACCAGCCCATGGCTTACTGCTGCCATTCCTCACTGGATTTTCATGAAATCACAGCGTGGTTTGGGTTGGAAGGGACCCTAATACCCATCTGTATCCAACACCCTGCCATGGGCAGGGACACCTTCCACTAGCCCAGGGTGTCCAAGCTCCATCCAGCCTGGCCTTGGACACTTCCAGGGATCCGGGGGCAGCCACAGCTTCTCTGGGCACCCTGTGCCAGGGCTTGCCCACCCTCACAGGGAAGAATTTCCTCCTAAAATCTAACTCAGGCTCCTCAGTACAATTTAAACAAGATGCTACTGGAGAAGGTCCAGCAGAGGCCACAAAGATGTTGAAGGGTCTGGAGTATCCCCCGTATGAGGAGATACTGTAGAAGCTGGGCTTGTTTACTCTGGAAAAGAGAATAAGAGGGATGTCATCAATCCATATAAATATTTTCAAGGCAGGATGGTGCCAGACTCTTTCTAGTGGTGCCCAACAGGACAAGGACTAATTGCCATAAATTAAAACACAAGAAGCTTCAGCTCAACATGAGGGAGAACTTCTGCACACTGAGGGTGGCAGAGCACTGGAACAGCTGCCCAGGGAGGCTGTGTAGACATTCCAAACACACCTGGACACATTCCTGTCACCTGGGTGACACTGCCTTGACAGGGGGTTGGACTGGATGATCTTCAGAGGTCCCTTCCAACCCTAAAATTGCTGTGATTCTGTAACCCTGCCCTCTGGCGGTGTAAAGCCATTCCTGCTGTCCTGCCACACCATGCCTTTTCCACAAGTCCCTGTCCAGATCTCTTGTAGCACCTTTAGGCACTGGAAGGTGCTAGAAGATCTGGAAGCCTTCTTTTCTCCAGGCTGAATCAGCCTTTCATTTTGAACAAGCTGAGGAAAGCACTGGATCTGATAAGAGGTTGTGCCAATTGGCAATATTGGGAATCTCTTTTTCCAACTGGTATGGAAGCCTGTAGTTAAGAAAAAAAAAGACAAAACCCAAAACCTAAACAAAGGCATGTGGTACACCAAGCCAGGCCAGTATCAGGTGCTGGTTGATTCCAATTCTTTTGTTAATTTTTCCTCCATAGGACACCAACCCAAGAGTTCAAATGCTGCAGGTAACCCCAAAGGGGCAGGAACACCTGACATTTTGAACATTGCATCTCTGGGGTGACACTGAGAGAGAGAGGCAGGACACACCAGACGGTTTGGTCACAGCACCTGAAGGCACAGGTCAGAGCAGCAGCTGCTGTGCTGTCACCACCTCTGCTTTGCTGTCACCACCACTGCTGTCCCACCTGCTGGCCCTGCTGCCACCCCTGATAGCTGAGCTGCTTCATTCTGCACGAGCCACTCGAGGTGGAATAACCAAAACCATTTATTTTGCCTTAAATACCACCCAGCTGTGCTGCCATTACAGCAGCCTGCCTGGATTATTTCGTTTTTGCCCGTTCAAGGCTTCCTGTGCCTCCCAGTGGAAGGAATTGGACAGAAATAATATTTTTTTTTCACCACCAATTCTCAGTTTTTACTGGAAATTATACTGTCATACAGCTGTTAAGGAGAATTCATCCAACTCCTACAGACTGAGGTTTATGTTATTACTAAAGCTGCTTAGAAATACTGCATCAAATAAATTCTTCACAGAAAAGTATAATTTTCTTAAAAAGTGGAAAACTTCCAGAAATTATCCAGAAATTTAATTTTAATTTTTTAAAAAGAAGCCTGAGAGCTTTGAAAAGTCTAGTGTGGATTTTTCCAGTAGTTTCCAGTTTTAATTTTGAAAATTATTAACTTATTTCTAGCCTAGCATTGCAAATACAAATATTTACATATAAATAAATATTAAAAATTAAACCCTCATTTTTAAAATGGCCAAGGAGACTTTCCTTTGATTCAAAGAATTTTGCTAGGCTTTAAATTTTCATGTTTCATCTGAAAGTAGAAAAAAGAAGAAAATAAAAAGTACTGGATTTTTTTAATATTGGATTTCTGCTTCTCCTTGCAGTTTTAGGCAAGAAAACTTCTATAAAACATATATATTAATAGGAACTGTGGAGTAGAAAGTCCTGAAATATCTGCATTACCAGTTGCATTTTGATAAATTCTTTTGAGCATTTAGTCTGACATCCTGGGCTTTCACTTTAATGGAATGGATGCCTAATAGAAATTAATTTTACTTTTAGATATCTAAATTTCTGTGTGTAGTATCAAAAATGCATTTTTTTGCCACCTGATTATAGTTTTGCGGCCTTTGTGTGTTGTTGGGTAAAATCCAGCTCAAGTTTTTGGACAGGTACACAAAAAGCAGAATAACATGAACATCCTCTTAGTAGATACATACAGGTAGTGGCTAAGGTGGTGGTTTTGAATATGGGAAAAATAATTATTCACACCACTGTCTGAGGCAAAACATTCCACTTCA